AATGAAATCACGTCATTGGCCTGAACAAAGGAAGTGAGGTGTGGGGGGGTGGGGGGGGGTGGTATGTTTGGTCGTGTGGAATGAGGTTGGGGGGGGCGGGGGGGGGTGGGGTTGGTATGTTTTTGGTCGTGTGTGAATGAGGTGGGGGGTGGGGTGGGGGGGGTTGGGGGTGTATGTTTTGGTCGTGTGTGAATATGATTTAGGATCTGTGTTTGGGGCTGGGCTGTGTGTGTGTGTGTGTGTGTTGTTATGTTTGGCGTGTGTGTGTGTGTTGTTGTGTGGCGTGTGTTGTGAGTGTGTATGTGTGTATGTGCGTGTGTGTGTGTGTGTGTGTTGTGTGGTGTGTGTGTGTGTGAGTGTCTGTGTGTGTGTATGTGTGTGTTTGTGTGTGTTTGTGTGTGTGCGTGTGTGTGTGTGTGTGTGTGTGTGTGTGTGTGTGTGTGTGTGTGAGTTGTGAGTGTATATGTGTGTATGTGTATGTGTGTATGTGTGTGTGTGTGAGTGTATGTTGTGTGTATTGGATGCATACCCCTGTGAAATATGATTTACATTAAAGTCAGATAGATTGATGACATCACCAAACCAAAAGTTTTCATCAGATGTGTAGTTACATATGATGAGTCATCGCGTGCTCGTGTACTTTTGCGTGTGAGTAAATTCACATTGTACACACTAATTATTCATTTATAGTTGTCATGAACACTGTTAGTGCTGTTAATGAAATGTAAAAGGATATGCCAGATACGTTTATGATTCAATTAAAATAATTCTCCTAAAAAAAAATAGAACAAATCATACCTGTTTTTTATCATTTCAGTAATGATTTTAATTAGATTTTAGGGTTGTAACCGAGAAATTAAATAATGGTAATGATGATAGCGAAAATAGGTAATCATGATGGCAATAATTCCAACAATGATAATGATAGTAGTAATATACTACTACTACTACTACTGCTACTACTAGTGCTACTACTACTACTAATTCGTCTACTAATGGCCTCCAATCCTCCTTTTATAGTCACGTTGCGCCTCCATCTATTGCCAAGCCAAGGATATGCATGTTGCATTACACTGCACTGCTTCCACTCACTGCTTTGCGTTCCGCTACTTGACTATTCGTCCGAGAGAGGGCTTCTTCTCGAGTCCTGATGGTCGAGTCCCTTCCAAGGACTGTAGTGTACGTCGGTGACACTCCGTCCTCCTTGTTTTTTTTCTTCTTTTCTTTTCTTCTTTTCTTTTTTTCTTGTTTTTTCCATTTTCCTTTTTTTTCTTCCTTTCCTTTTTGCTTCCTTTTCTTTTTTTCTTCCTTTTCTTTTCTTTTTTTCTTCTTTTTTTTGACACGACTTGCCTAAGAAGACTCGGAGTTCCCGCCCTCTGAAGTCTGGGAAACTAGAGACGGGAAAGTTCCGCAATTTATGATTCGGATTCTTTCTGTTCCCCATACTTTTTTCATCTTCATTTTGCTTTCGAGCTTCTCTTAAAGTTAACCCCGACGCCACGTGGCCACGAGGGCGAAGGTGCGAGTGTCAAAAAAGGCTCCCTGCCACGTATGCCCGGCCTCCTCGACCACTAGAGGGCCAAAAAGAGGCTCTCCACTCTTGATAGATTTCCTGCAGTGTCTAATACCGTATCCCCGAACGCTACAGTATCTCCCTTCCTACAGTTCGATATGTGATCGACCTCAAATATCCACACGAACGCTGGCTTGGCACTCTTATCACGGGCAGATCCTGCTGGGGTTTGTTTCCTGGGCAACAACAGGTAGTCGACCGGGCTGTGAGATGCCGACGTCGGCTGCTGTTGTTTTCTTTTGTCTCGCTTGGCGGGTCTTCGGTGTGGCGACTCGGTTCCGTGCGGTTCGGGTACGGAAGGATCGCATTTTGTAGGACTGCTGATGCTGCTGCTGTTACTACTAATGCAACTGCTGCTGCTGTTACTGTCATTGATACTGCTCTACTACTACTACCGATGCTGCTGCTGCTGTTACTGTCATTGATACTGCTCTACTACTACTACCGCTGCTGCTGCTGCTACTACCGCTGCTGCTGCCACTACCGCTGCTGCTGCTGCTGTTACTGTCATTGCTACTGCTCTACTACTACTACCGCTGCTGCTACTGCCACTACCCGCTTGCTGTGCTGTTGTACTGTCATTGCTACTGCTCTACTACTACTGCTGCTACTGCTACTACCGCTGCTGCTGCCACTACTGCTACTGCTGTTGTTACTGTCATTGCAACTGCTCTACTACTACTACCGCTGCTGCTGCTGCTGACACTACTACTGCTGCTGCTGTTACTGTCATTGCTACTGCTCTACTACTACTACCGCTGCTGCTGCTGCCACTACCGCTGCTGTTGCTGTTGTTACTGTCATTGCTACTGCTCTACTACCGCTGCTGCTGCTGCTGTCACTACTGCTGCTGCTGCCACTACTGCTGTTGCGGCTGTTACTACTATATTGTACTACGCTGCTACCACTACTACTGCTGCTGCTGCTGTTACCACCACTTCTGCTGCTACTGCTACTACTTCTACTACAACTACTATTACTAATAATAGTAATACTGATAGTATTGGCAATAATAATGATGATTATAGTAATAATGATGATACTAATGATAATGATGATACTATCACTAATAATGAAAATAGTGATCATAATAATAATAATAATAACAATAATGATAATTAGAATCAGGATGATAATTAAAATAATGATGATGATAATAATAATGATAATGATAATGATAATAATAATAATGGTAATAGTAATAATAGTAATAATAATAACAACAGGATCATAATGACGATAATAATTATAATAATGATAATGATGAATATAATAATAATAATAATGATAATAAGGATGAGAGAAAGAAAAAGGAGAAATAATAAAGACAAAGAAAGCAAAGAAAATGGAGAACAAGAAGAAGAAGAACTGTAACAATAACGACCAACCAATAACACCACCAACAACAACAACAATAATGAAACCCCCACTAAACCATACTCAGATATAAAATAAACGTATTACACACCAACTGAAAATTGTTAATACTGGCAATATGATTAGTAATCTTATTAATAGCAGCCGGATTTGAGTGCCAATATAAAGAAGCATCCCTGTGCAAAAGGCTATCATAAGGGATTAAATATGACCAGCATATTGCGGTCTAACTGCCTGATCGTATTGGAGGACTTGTCGTTGTGGGATGGAAAAAAGGTGGTATTTTTGTGGTTTATTTATGTGGTTTTCGTGTGGGTGAGAAGGAGAGAGAGAGAGAGGGAGAAGGGGAAAGGGGGGAGAGAGAGGGGAAGAGAGATGAGGGAAAGGGAGAGGGAAAGGGGAGAGAGAGAGAAAGGAAGAGGGGGAGAGGGAAAGGGGGAGGGAGAGAGATGGAGAAAGAGAGAGATGGAAAGGAGAGAGAAGAGAGAGGAGAAGAGAGAGTAAGAGATAAATAGAGAGAGAGAGAAAGAGAAAAATAGATAGAGAGAGAGACAGAAACAGAAACAGAGACAGACAGACATAAACAAACAAACAGCCAGACAAAGAAAGAACGAACAGAGAGAGTCCAAAAGCGAAGGAGAAGAAGGAGGATACGCAGCAGGAACAACCGCAGAAGGACAACCAAACAACCAACACACACGAAAAGAGTAATTATAGCCTAAGAGTCGCGCAAAATAAATTAAACACGCGAACATTAAACNAGTCTTTATTTCGTTTTCACAATTCGATTTTTTGTTTGTTTGTTTGATTTTCAACTAAGCTTGATATTTATGCTTCTTTTTTTAGTTGTCATTTTCTCATTTTCTTGTGTTTTCTTTTCTTGCATCTCTTCGCATCTTTTTCACGTATATTTTTTTGGTTTCTCTTTACATTCATTTCTCTATCAATCCGTTAGTCTATATATCTAATCAGAATATTCACCTATTGGACCGTTTGATCTATAAAATTTTCAACCTCACAGTAAAACACTACAAAGACAATAATGTTTTGGTTTTGTGGACCAACCCTTATCAGTGTTGTTTTACTAATAATTTCTCAGACATACAAACCTGCATTTAATACATACATACATACATACATACACACACACACACAATATATATATTATATATATATATATATATATATTATATATATATATATAATATATATATATATATATTATATATATACATATGTGTTGTGTGTGTGTGTGTGCGGGCGTATGTGGGTGTGTGGGTGTGTGGGTGTGTGTATGGGTGTGTTGGTGTGCGTGCGTGTATGTGTGTGTGTGTGTGTGTGTGTGTGTGTGTGTGTGTGTGTGTGTGTGCGTGTGTGTGTGTGTGTGTGTGTGTGTGTGTGTGTGTGTGTGTGTGTGTGTGTGATGTGTGTGTGTGTGTGTATGTGTGTGTGTGTGTGTGTGTGTGTGTGTGTGTGTGTGTGTGTGTGTGTGTGTGTGTGTGTGTGTGTGTGTGTGTGTGTGTGTGTGTGTGTGTGCGTGTGTGTATATATATATTATTATATATATATATATATATATATATATATATATATATACATACATATATATACACGTATGTATGGCAGATACACATCATTCTACAAGTCCTTGCGGCGTGGGTACGAGCGCGCACTGCCCACCAGAGGCTGGCTCGAGACCCACTTATTCCATGTCCCGAAGCGAACGTTAGGAATCACGCGCGATCAGAGGACACTGCATTTCGGTTCCCTCGGTTCCAGTTGCGTCCACCCGGGGCCATTCAGTCCACCTATTTTGTCGTTTCCTTTGTATGAATGAAATGCCTTTGCTCATGGCTTGCTAATCGTGTCTCATTGGCGTCTGCTTTGAGAGAGGTGATAGCCGACGAGCATCTAGGCCTACCTGCGAATCGTCTGCCTGGAGTACGGCCTACGGTGAAAAATCGGTACTTGCCAACCCTGTCCCACAGCCTGACGACCTACTGCCGAGTCCCGGTATATAAGGCAAGGAGGCCCCCATACACCCGTCATTAGCTCAACCACAGCCCTTCGTGAAACAGGCTCACCCTGAACCGCTTGTACTCCCCCGCACACGCAAAACTCGCCAGCACCAGGATGTCTTCCTTCGCCTACATCATGGACGATGTCTCCAACGGCCTCAAGACCTTCAGCTCGGACGTAAGCACCCTCTTCGGGGGCTTCGACCTCACCGTCATCGCCGTCATCGCCCTGGTCGTCCTGCTGGCCGTTATATCCTACGACGTGATCATGTTCCTCCTCTTCTTCAGCGAATCCGGCAGATCCTTACAACTCGCTCACGAGCTTCCTGGCGTCGAAGGCTTGGGATTACAGGAACGAGGTGGACATCAACCCAGAGAACTACATCAGTGCAAGGTACGCTGTGAGTGAGTGAGTGTGTGTGTGTGTGTGTGTGTGTGTGTATGTGTGTGGAAGAGAGAGAGAGAGAATTCAAGTTCGCTCGGCTTTGTAAATATTGTCTATACATACATGCTTTATGGTGACATTTTCTCGGTGGTGGATTGCTAATTAAAATACACATGCATGGGCAGTGATGCTTGAAAATGGTTTTAGTGCCTCTTTTTAAACACGCACGCAAATGTACGCACACACACACAACCGCGCGCACACACACACACACAAACACACACACACACACACACACACACACACACACACACACACACACACACACATACATACACAACACGCACACACATACACAACACACACACATACATATACATACACACACACATACACACATACACACACACAAATATGAAAAATATGTATATAACCATTCATATACACGTCCACGGCTTCCCTCACTTGAGTAAATACTGCTTAACTCATACACAGACACATCTCACCGCCTGCCCTTTGACCCAAGCTTATATAGGTCAAGACACCATACCTTATTGTCATTGTAGTTCCTGTTATATTTTTCCTGCTACTGAAAATTATATTTATAATAAAGATGATATCGATGGCGATGGCAATGAAGATGATGATGGTTATTGCTATTATTGTCATTATCATTAGCATTATCGTTATCGATATTATTAATTTCATTATCATTATTATTATAGACATTACTGAAAGATAATGTAGTCGTTAGTTACAGTACTTCTTATCAACAGATTATCATTTATTTTTTATGTTGTTTTTCATGTATTGACTTACATCTGCTTTAATTAATTTGTTTTTAATTATTTATTTATTCATTTATTTTTTACGAGTTAGACACGTGTTACGAGTTTCATTGTCATTACACGTTGCATGTCACGAATGCTGGTATAACACAGCACTTAGCCATGATGTACATAGTGTTTGTTTGTTTGTTTGCTTTTTTGCTTTGTGTTTTGTTTTTGCGTGTGTTCAAAATGCTTACTTAAATGACCTCACGGCTTCTGTAAATATGTGCCAACCTTTAAAGGACTTCAGATACCTTTACTAAATCTGCTTCTCTCTGTTACCTTTTTGTACATACCATCTTGAGGTGCTTCTTCTTTTCGTGCCCGTTATTTCTTCTTGTGTGTCTTTACTTACGGAACTTTTGTACGTATTTCTTAGGTCTCTTGCTGTGATCAACCCCATCATCTACGCCATCCAATCAGCTATCGAGAAATACGAATAGTGATTGGACTAACCGCCACCCATGACGTCATTATTTTGTATGACGGCTGACCAATGAGAAGAGACCTCGGTCGCGTTTCCCGACAAGATCTGGCAACGGAGGACCAATCATCTGCGAGACAGGTTTACGGAATGGACCAATCACGAGCGAGGCAGGATTGAGAGCCAGTCACTTTGCTCGATGGCCGGCGTCGACAAAGGGATTTAGCTACGATGCTTCTCACTCGCGAAGAGAGAAAAACAAACAAGATATAGAATGCGTGCTTGCGCTTACCTTACTTCCTCCCCCCCCCTTCCCTTCCTCATCGATGACGTTTCTCAAGACATACTGGCGATTCTTCTCCTCCGCCTCGTACTTACTTCCCTCTCTCGAAAGCTAGCACACTGGTCGTCTCTGTCCTGGGATACCCAAGATAGCCTCGCCGATGTCTGGCCAGCTACAGCTTTTGCTTGGTCAGCTGACTAGACTTCGTGGCTGTCTGGGATCCCAAGCAGAGAGACTAGTGTGACCCTGGCTGAAGAGATTGAGATTCTTTCCAGACAGAAGATCTTTTAAGACAGACGACAATTTTCCGAGACAACGAGAGACATCGCATCGGTGATTTTTGTTTCCTTTACTAATCAGACTTTTTCTGTAGGTCACGCGGTACAAGTATTGTCTGTGTGACCCTTTACGGCAGGGATGACCTATGACCTTTGACCCTTCGGGTTTGACGTGAGACCCATAGACTGTACATATTTTTATTTTTATTTTCTATAATTTTTTTTTTTAAAATTTCTCCCCCAGTTTATCCTTTTTATAGGATTTCCCCTCACTCCTGGAATTCTCCCTATCACTTCTTTTGACATCTGACGCATTTATATACGATGATGGCATATGCGCGACGCCTTTGCTCAAGTGGCCAAGCCAATCTCAAAACGTACCTGACACACAAACGCATTACTACTTAAGACTTAATTTTAAAGACTTTTTAAGAAGGATGAAAATACTCAAGAAAATACGTGAAAACTGAACCTTCCAGTCTCCTTGCTGGTCGAAGATGCTGGTGAGGTGAGACGACTTACGAGTGACTTAAGAGACTAAGAGTTGGCAAAAAAAAAGTTTAATTTTTTTTTTTTTATTTGTCTGTTTTTTCTTTTTTGTTTATTTGTTGTTGTTTTTTTGTATTAAAAAATGCCAGCGAAAGCTCTTGCCTTAACAACTCCCCAAAACAGTAACCTAACTTATTTATATTCATATTTATTTTGAAATCATAATAATAAATAATCAAACGTTTTTTGTGTCTGTTCTTTTCCATCTAACTGTATATGTAGAAAAATTATGAAAAAGATATAATAGGCAACTCACTATTCAGTGTCAGTTTTTTACATGAAATTTTCTTAAGATTTGGAATATGCGAGCTATTACAACCAAAAAAAATTCCATTTCCTTTACATAATAAAACAACCATATCATAAAAATGAAAAAGTTGATTTATATATCTATTGCGTTTATATATGCACTCATACCTACGCAAGCACAAATTGTTGCATCATACACATACACTTACACACACACACACACTATCACACGGCACGCACACACACACACACATGCATCACACACACACACACACACACACACACACACACACACACACACACACACACACACACACACACACACACACACACACACACACACACACATAACACACACACACTAACACACACACAACACAACACACACACACACTAACACACACACACAACACACAACACACACACACACAGATATACGAAGAGATAATTAAATGCAAACGCAAAGATATTCAGGGAACAAAGTAAAGATAAATAAAACTAAACAAAGAAAAATACTCAAGAGAGAAAAGCAAGAAAGAGAGAGAAGAGAGAGAGAGAGAGAGAGAGAGAGAGAGAGAGAGAGAGAGAGAGAGAGAGAGAGAGAGAGAAGAGAGAGAGAGAGAGAGAGAGAGAGAGAGAGAGAGAGAGAGAGAGAGAGAGGAGAGAGGAGAGAGAGAGATTTGACAAAATAAAAATTGACACAGAACAGTACACATGCCCTACAAAAGGCCAAGACCAGACTTTGCGGAAACTTTGCGGCGTGCTACTCTGCTTTCACCGCGCAGGTCTCCATTCCTTATAGTTGGCCGCGCAAAGTTGTCAAAGTGACTGTTTGCCGCGCAGAGTGAATTGGCCCAAGAGGAGATCACTTTACGAATCGAACGACAGCATAGAGGCTCGCAGCTTGACCGACGACGGAAAGGCAAGTCAAACAAAGGAAAAATATTACGTTCTTCAACAGAGTGGTGTCAAGGTAACGGGGTCGAGAAGCACAATTTTTTAAAGGTCAGATTCTCGGTAAGCTGCCGTGTTTACCTTTGATTTTGTCTTTGTCTTCTTATTTTTGATGCGATTTTTTAGGCTTCCGCGACGATGCGAAAAAAGTAAGCGGACAGTTTCGAATCTAGCGGCGAATCTTTTGCGAGAAAGAATAGGTAACCCATTTTAATATCATAGAAACGACGTTTATATAATGTAATATCTATCACCAACGTTACATAATGCAAAACAAGTCGCGCAATAGTCGTCCATTTTTTATGTAAATTGGAAATTTAACTAGCAAGTTACGACTTTTGAGATTAACTTGCCTGCGCATATAAGGTTTCCAGTCGAAACTGGCTGTGCTTCTGTTTATGTAGAGGGCTATCAGTCAAACATTAGTTATACAGAAGGGCTGTGCCATTGTGCTTACAATATTCACATATCATTTATTTGGTAAATAAGCTTTTATAATCATATCAAAAACAAAACCAGTGTCTATCACAAAATTATCATAATCAGTGTGCTAATTTCTACTATTTAAACGTTAGGATGCGATTTTCATGCAAGAAAATAATGTGCAATATTATGCGCATTGTACCTTTTGCGGAGGTGATATGACACTGCCTTTGGCGCCAATACTGAATCGTGTAGATAATGTAAGCGTAGCCTGGTTAGGTAAACAGATGTCTCCGAGAGTCAATTATAGACTTTACAGGGCTTGTCAACACCCAACGTCCCTGCAATACTTTCATAATGCCAGATGGTATATGTCCCTTTTTCTTCAATTTTTCTGTGGTTCACAGCTGGCCCTCGTAATTTTTTTTTTTGTTTAAGAGATAATGGTACTGCATGGTATGGTTCTTCATGGGAAAGGGTTAGTTTTGTTAACTGATCCACCTTGTCATAGACTGATATTCCTATATGAGAGGATATCAAAAATAGTGACACCTGTAGACCCTGCTCTGATAGCCTAAAAAATGGCTAAATACAGTGTCTAGCCACGGTGGACGAGACAGCTAGGTGTCGTTCCCTTTTTTTTCTTTTTGTCGGCATGGTGTGTGGCTATTGACTCGGCAACAGCTGTGCTTGCCTGGCTTTAAATCACACTTTCTATAAGAGCAAAATTAGCAATCACTACACCAATCGCTGCTGCTCTAGGAGGATCAGGAGAGGCATCACAGTAGGTTGCTAGTGGGGGTTATCATGAGGGGGATGGAGAATCACATCTGTTTCAAGTTATGGCCTTTTAATTATGTTATTGAATTCATGGATTTAGGCCTTGTTAATTTGTCGATATTGAAATATATGTGTGATCTATGTCAAGGCGCAGTAAGTGTTGCTTCTGGGATGTCAATGGCAACAATGTTCCATATTAAAAAAGAGAAGAAGTTTGGGCAGTTTTGACTTAGTCTAGGTTTGAAAATACTAGATTGGAGCATCGAGGCCGCCGAACCTTCCTAACTTTAGAATTAATCACGTTAGACAAAGCAAGGTAGATTTGTGGTCTGAAATGAAGCTACAAGTCTGATGCCGAGTCTTGTGTTGACCTTGGTAACTCTGAATTGAAGGGAGGTCTATCTCTTTCCTCAAGGCAAGCACTCTAACAGTCATTGGGGAACCTAGAATGATTCTCATGGCCTTCTTCCTTAAGACTTCAATGAGTTGAAGAGCATTTTGTGGCAATGTTCATAGAATCGGGCTCGTATAGTCTATCATGGACCTAACAAGGGAGATATTCATTAACATTAGGACTCTTCTGGAGGCACTCACATGTCTGTTATTTATGTCCTGTAAAGGTCGTAAACGCTACAAGCATCTTTCCCTGATGTTTTGAACACATTTCAGAGTGAAGCGTGAACTGCGGGACAGAGGTGAGGAGCAACCATAATGACACCAAGATACCTATAGGTGTCAGTTTTGCCAGAATTATCCAAGTTTTGATTGGATTCATTATGAGTTCGAGAGAAGCACACTTTTCCTGAACCTTTAAAGAACATATTCTTCCCCTTTTCAAAGACCAGAATGAGAATGCCATCAGCATCGCATGTGGTTCTGTAGAATGCCTGGCAAAACTGTTGAGCTTGCAAAGATCTCGAATAATCTTGCTAAATGATGAAGGGAACTAAACTCCACCTTTCATTCACCATAAACACTGTAGGTGCCTTGGTATTATACTTTTGCCCTTCTCAAAGACAAACAATCCTATATTCCACGCAGAAGCTTACCTTTAACTTTCAAGAGTTAATTTATGGAGGATTGCAGTGGAGGAGACTCTGTCGAATGCTCCCTTGAAATCTATGAGGTAAGCAGGACTGCATTACTTCCATTTAGGTGCTGTGCTAAACATTTGTGTTTCTTTCCCTTTTTGGAAACTAAAGACTGATGAATGAATTTGAACTTTGATCTGGTGGAGAAGACGGAGGAAGAGAGAGAGGAAGGAGGGAGAGAGAGGGAGAGGGAGAGAAGGAAGGAAGGAGAGAGGATGGGAGCAAGCAAGCGCGCGAGAGAAACAAAGACAAAGAAAGAGAATGGAGTACAAACAGACAAAGACAAAGAGAGAGAGAGGGAGATAGGAATAAAAACAGACACACAACAATGGAGAGAGAGAGAGAGAGAAGAGAACGAAACAGTAAGGTAAAAATGCAATGCAGAGAGAAGAGGACAAAAAAGTGCGGTCTCTCGGCAAATTCTTTCCGTCAGCTCTTGCGAAAATCATCTTCTTTATATTCTTATGGACTAAAAATAATTTAGTAATATGTCAGTCACTTGCGGGGATGGAAGAGGAAGGCAGTCGAAGCCGATATCATGTCTTCATAAAAAAGGAAAAAGAAAAAAAAAAAGAAAAGTCAGCGATTCGGAAAGATATTGTGAAAAAAGAAAGAAAATCGGGAGGTTGACAGGGCGCTATATATATATATATATATATATATATATATATATATATATATATATATATATATATATATATATATATATATTAGAAGTTAGACAGACCGCCAGATAGATCTTTTCAACTGATGACGGTGTAAAGTAGACAGATAGAGAGAGGAAGAAGGAGAAAGAGATTGAATGTGTATGCGTGAGAGAGAGAGAAAGAGAGAGAGAGAGAGAGAGAGAGAGAGAGAGAGAGAGAGAGAGAGAGAGAGAGAGAGATATAATGAATTATACCTCATAACTCAAACTACTTGAACGACACACCGACCATTTACAAACTTCCATTTTCCTCATCCTATTCCTCTTCCTTTTGTCATTTTCCCTCCCTCCTCTTACTTCAAACAGGGGAAAATAACCATCTGCGATCTTTAACTAAAACTAAACACACACAAAAAATACATAGAGTTTCTAATCATATCACCACTAAAACGAACTCACACTCGAAAGAATTAATGTAGTTCTAACAGTAACAAAAATACGCAACTGAGAATATTACGAGATTTTTATCG